ATTTCTCAGTTATGGCCTCACTGAGGCCATAAAAATTATAGCTTGCCTGTTGAGCAGCTGTATTAGGTACTCTTAACAGTGATCACCTAAAGAGTAAAGAAGATCGTAGAGAAAAAAAATAGATAAAAATAGCACAACTCACCGTTTATCATTACCTTTACTTTGGCATAATGGTGGAATATTTAATGAGTTGTGGAATCTTGTTCTTTGGAGTAGCGGGCCTGTCTGGTTGCTGTATATTAGTCCTTCCAGACCTTGGCTTAGGTGTAACTCAGAATTTTCCTCTTTGCAGCGAGGTTCGAGGAGTGAAGCTTTGGATCTTAGATTATCATTCTAATGGTATCAGCCAATTGCCAATAGTCTTCATCTGTTTCCCAGCTTCAGACATATTGTGGTCCTGTACTGCCCTAGTTTTATCCGATGGAGTAGATCTAATTTTTTACTGATCCACCTCTTTTCAGAAGGTGCTGAAGTCAGAAACTAGTTTCCTTCTAAGGCACAAATATAAAAGAGGTTTGACTGCTTTTAAAAGCGTTCATTTATTTTATCTCACTTAGAAAAGTGTACATTATGTTTGGTGCATTATCCATTTAAAGCCAGCATACATAGTTGTTAGAATTCTGGGCATTAATATAACTTCTTTTTCCTACAAAAACAGGGAGATTTTCGGTACATGAAGTTTTCATATATATGCTGACATCTGCTCTGATACTCTGGGTTAAGAAACCATTAAGAGAAATTTAAGAAATTTACCAGGGTTATAGATACTTTTGAAAATCTGGTGAAGGCTCCTATGGAAAACAGTCTGATAGTTACTTAAAAAGTTAAACAGAATTACTGTATGACTCAGCAATTCCACTCTAGGTATATACTCCAAAGAATTGAAAACAGATACACAGATACTTGTACATGCATGTTCATAGCAGCACTATTCAGAGTAGTGGAAAAGTAGGAACAACCCAAAAGTCCATCAGTGGCTTAGTGGATAAATAATTTGTACAGTGCCTGTCTGTACAGTGAAATATTATTCAGCCATTAAAGCAATGAAATACTGATACATGCTACAATTTGGATGAAACTTTATGCTGAGTAAAAGCCAGACCCGATAGGTCACATTGTATGATGCCATTTGTGTGAAATAGCCCATGTGATCTCATTTATGTGAACTATCCCAGTTGGATAAATCCCTTAGAGACAGAAAACAGATTGGTGGATGCCAGGGAATGTTGAGAGGAGGGGAACAAAAAGTAACTGCTTAATGGGAATGGGGTTTTTGAGAGGATGAGAATTATGTTTCAGAACCAGGTAGAGGTAGTCGTTGCACAACATAGTGAATAAAATTCTACTGAATTGTACACTTTAAAATGGTTAATTTTATATTGTATGAATTTCACCTCAGTAAAGAAAATAAATCTGATGCGGTGTGTATTTGTATATACATACCAGATTTTATCATTTCAGGGAGTAGTTCACGGCTCTCAGAGATTTCCTCTAGGAATTCAGGGATTTAAGGTGAATTCCAACTTTAGCTGATAACTGTAGCAAGTATAACATTTATAAATCTGGTGGTAGGTTTAACATTGGTAGCAGATTGTTTATCTATGTGAGTAGTTTTCTTGGTGTTGTTGGTTTTTTTATTCTATATAAAGCTTTTTAAAATAGCTTTATTATTTTATATATAATTTACATACTATTAAATTCACACATTATAAGTGTATAGTTTGGTGAGTTTTAATTAATTTGTACAGTTGTGCAACCCTCCCCAGTTTTAGACTTCCATATATACAGTTTTTTGTGTTTGCGTTCAACCTACCCATACCTCCAACCCTAGGCAAACACTGATCAGCTTTGTCTGTCTAGTTTTGCCTTTTTTAGATATTTTATATAAATGAAATCATGTAATATGGAATCTTTTCTGTCTTTTTTTTCCATTTTGTATAGTATTTTTGAGGTTCATTCACATTGTCAGTAGTCTTTTTTTTGTTGATAAGTAGTATATTTTATGGATACATGACACTTACTTAGTTGATAGACATTTGAATTGTTTTGTATTTTTGGACATCATGAGTAATTCTGATATAAACATTCATGTATAAATCTTTGTGTGGACATGTTTTCATTTCTCTTAGGTGCATACCTAGGGATGTAGTTGCTGGATTTTATGGCAGAATATGTATTTAACTCTTCAGGAAACTGCCACACCGTTTTCCAAAGTGGCTGTACCATTTTGTATTCCTACCATTACTGTTGTGAGGACGCCTGTTTTTCTATGTCATTACCGATTCTTGGCTTTATCTTTTTTGATTATACCTATTTTAGTGGCTATATAGTAATGTCATATAGTGATTTTACATTTCTCTCATGACTAACTGTTATTATTTCATGTGTTTATCAGCCATTTGTATGTCTTAAGTGAAATATCTTTCAGTCTTTTGCTTATTATTTAAATTGGGTTGTTGGTCTTACTGCATCATAAAGAATTCTTTAAACTATCTTAATGGTATCTTTTTTTAGAGCAAAAGATTTTAATTTTGATGTTCAACTTCTCTGTTTTTTTTCTTTTATGGATTGATCATGCTTTTGATATCTGTACTTAAGATATTTTTGCCTATCCCAATATCACAGATGTTTTCTCATGTTCTTCTTGAAGTTTCTAGTGTTAGCTCTTCCATTTAGAATTATGGTTTCCTTTGACTTAATTTTTATGTATCATGTGAGATAAAAGTAAGGGTTTAAATTAATCTTTTTATATGTGAATAATTGTTCCCGTTGAAAAACTATTATTTTTCCACTGAATTACCTTTGAACTGAATTGACCACTGAACTCCTTGTGAATTGACTTTAAATGTATGGGTTGAGTTTTGGACTTCCTGTTCTACTGATCTCTATGTCTGTCCTTATTCCAGTATCACACTATCTTGATTTACTGTAGCTTTAAATTTAAGTATTGAAATTAGGTAATAAGAGTCCTCTAACTTCATTTTTTCTTAAAACTGTTTGGGCTTTTTCAGGTCCTTTGCATTTTCCAATAAAATTTTAAGATTAGTTTATTAATATCTACCAAAAAAGACTAGTAGAATTTTTAGAGATTGTATTGGGAGAGAATTGTCTCATCTTAGTATTTTTCACTTCCAATCCATGAGCATGGTATATTCTTTCATTATTTACATCTTTTAAATTTCTCTCTGAAGTATTGTGTAGTTTCAGTGTATAAGTCTTACATTTTCTTAAATCTATAAGTATTTTACTGGTTCATATTGTTGCAAATGGTATTCTCTCTTAAGTTCATAGTTGGATTGCTAATAGCTTGAATACTAAAGTATGGTTTATTTTTATATGGTGATATTTTGTCCTGTGAATTTGTTAATAAACTTGCTTGTTAATAAGTTTTAGTAACTGCACATTCTGTAAGATTTTCTGCGTAGACAATGATACTGCCTGTGAATAAAGACAGTTTTTGCTGCTTCTTTCCAGTATGTTATGCCTTCAGTTTCTTTTTCTTATTGCATTGGCAATATCCAGTTCAATGTTGAATAGTAGTAATGAGAGTGAACCATCTTTGCCTATAACTGAGCTTAGAGAAAAAGCATTCAGTGTTTCACCATGAAGTGTAATATTAGTTGTTTTTCCCTAGGTGCCCTTTATCGGGTTGAGGAAGTTCCTTTCTATTCTTAGTTGGGAATAAGTGAAAAAAAGTTTAAAACACATGTTTGGATGGCTGTTATCAAAAAGATAAGAGATAGCAAGTGTTGGCAAGAATATGAAGAACAGGGAGCCCTTGTGCACTCTTGGTACAGCCACTATGAAAAACAGTATGGAGGTTTCTCAAAAAAATTAAAAATAGAACTACTATATGAGCCAGCAATCCCACTTTTGGGTACAGTGAAATTAATATCTCAAGGAGCTACGTTCCCATTATTCACAATATCTAAGACAAGGAAACAACCTCTATCCATTATAGTTGAATGGATAAAGAAAATGTGGTATGTTTGTCTTTCTGTATACACATACACATACACACACACACATAATCACAATGGAATGTTATTCAGCCATCAAAAAAAGGCTGCTATTTGTGACAGCATGGATGGACCTTGAGAGCAATTATCCATCCAGATAAATCAGAAAAAGGCAAATACTTTGTGATCTCACTTACACGTGGTATCTAAAAAAGCTGAACTCATTGAAACAGTGAATTAAATGGTGGTTGCCAGGCACTAGGGTGGGTGGAGTGGAGGAAATGGGAAGATGTTAGTCAAAGGGAACAAACTTGTATTTATAAAATGAATAGGTTCTGGGGATCTAAGGTAGAGCATGGTAACTGTAGTTAACAATACTGTTTTATATATTTGAAAGATGCCAAGAATATAGATCTTAAATTTTCTCACCAGAAAAAAGCCATAAGATAATTATTGAGGTGATAGATACGCTAATTAACTTTATTGTTAATTATGCCTTAAACTTATACAACTTTGTACATCAATTACATCTCAATAAAACTGGTAAAAAGCCAAGTCTGTTGAGGATCTTAAAAGAAGCAATGTATTTTATCAAATGCTTTTCCATCTATAGAGGCAAGGATGTGGCATTTGCTTTTTATTCCATTAATGTGGTACATTACATTAATTTTCTAACAGGCAGAGGCTCTGTAAACTTCTAGAGGCCTATCTATAGAACCAGAGGTGTTTCACTTTCAAGAAATAGGGTAACCATTAGTAATCCATTGGTATTAGTAATTAATGTACATTAACTTCAAGAGACCAGAGTTGAAATTAGAATGTTCTTTTTTATTTAGACCACTATACTTCAGATTTATCATAATTATTGCTGTAATAGTTTGTTGAAAGTAAGTAGAATAAGATATTAATATTCTAAGAAGTTCACTTAAGTGATTGGGAAAGTATGGACACAATTTATATATTAATAGAATTTTTTCAATTGTATACTTTTAAAGACAAGGTTTTATAATACTTTATTCTTATTTGTTTTCACATTTTTAGATATGCCATTGCACTGGCCTTAAGGGAAAAACAGCGTGTAATATTTACCAGCCCAATTAAGGCATTGAGTAACCAGAAATACCGTGAAATGTATGAAGAGTTTCAAGATGTTGGTCTGATGACTGGAGATGTTACTATTAATCCTACAGCATCTTGTCTTGTTATGACCACAGAGGTAATTTATATGGTGTCTCATCAGACCTTTCCTTTTTAATTTAATTAATGTGGCTATTCAATTAAAATAGCTAATGTTTTATTACTTGCTCTATATAGATAAAATGTAATACTTTACTTTCTGAATAGATTTACTTGAAAGGGATAAAGTTCATCTTTTAAAGGCATATTGTCAGTGACATGAAAATAGTTTGATGGTTTTCTGTAGTTTTAAGAATTTGAATACATTGCTTCAAATTAGTAGTGGCGCCTTGTTCCTTGTGATTTTTTTTTTTCCTTCTGCATCTGAGTGTTGATACAAATAGATAAATAACTTTAAAAAAAATGCCCAATTATGTTTAGCTGCTTCCCATAACTACAGTTAAGTTTTGCATATACTTACAGCATCTTACATTTTGTACAGATCAGCTGTCTTTACAGTACTTTTGTACATGCTTTAATTTTATCTTTGCATTTTTACAAAGAGACACTAGGGAGCATAAATTTAGCTTCTGGTATGTAGCAGCCAAAAACATTGCTCACTTTTCATCTTGGTGCCCAAAATCAGTTCATTTTCCATTTTCAAAACTTTTCTTCTATCTGTGGAAGATTTTCTTTAACTCAAAAATCAGGATAGTGATTGCTAGAAAGTATCTATATTGTCAAGATGAAGTAGAAAAAGTGAATAAGCAGTATGAGGTTCATTGTATTGGTTAGGAGATAACTCTAAATTGCTCTCATATCCTAGAAAGTGTCTGTCTTGGGATAAGTGCTGTACCTATAAGAAGGTGGCTTCATGTCCGACATATATAGAGATAGAGATGATAATAATTCTCTCCATGAATTGTATCAGATTAGTAATTGTTGAAACATTTGGATTATTTATTTTGGATTTAGAAAAGAAATGTTATATATTTAAGATATGTAACCTCCTAAAATTATTTTAATATTTCCATTAAAAAAGAATTCCCCAAATTCCTTGTTAGAAGAGCTTTTCATATGTCACAATCTTGCTAAATCTTCTTTTACTTTAGATTTTGAGAAGTATGCTATACAGAGGTTCTGAAGTTATGCGAGAAGTTGCTTGGGTCATATTTGATGAAATTCATTACATGAGAGATTCAGGTATATCTTCCTTGTTGTTGAGACATGTTCTATGTTTTTTTTCTCTAAGAAAGGCATTAGGAATTTTGAACAAGTAGTTGTTGAATTTTCATGTGGCTAGAGTTCTAGTCAGCTAAGTTGTGGACAACGTGATACATAGCATTTCCAATAGGATCTGATTCAGTTACAGCTTCTTAAATAGTAACAATTTCTGGGTGCGAAAATGCAAATTTGAATTTAAAAATGGGGTTAGTTTGATTTTAATAGAGTTCTCTAACATAACTAATGTTAGGAATTTCCAAAACTTACAGCCTACAGTTTCTTGATTTTTATTTATTTTAGTTTTTAGAAAACTAAGAAATGCATGTGTATAGTAAAAAAAAAAAAAATACAGTGAGGATTATGAAATAAAAATGGCCAAAAAGAATAAAATATAAATATCCCTTTACTTGAACTGTTAAACTACTGTAATGGAAAAAGTAAGTGTACTTGGAATTTTGGATGGCTCTTGGAGGATGAAGGTTAACAAACACATTTAAAATTAAGTGTTTAATGTGCATGTACACACTTAAAACTTAGTTTTTATTTGAGCTAAAGCACTGTTAACCTCTATTTATAGTGAAAGTAATACAATTTAAGAAATCCTTTACTCTTTAAACATTTTACTCTTTAACAAATTTATAAGATTAAGTTCTGAACAGAGTTGTTTTGGTTATTAAATCATGAATCCTGTATTGATTTGTTCTCGTTGGGGGGAAATTTTCTAACTAATTTTTCTGTTTTAATAAAACTGACTTAGAGTTTTGCTCTTCATCAAATCTTTCATCTCTGGAGGTTATGAGGGTAATTTGGATGAAAGATGCTGTATGGTATAGTAATGATGTTTCTATGAAATTTGTTACTGTGACTTTCTATAAGCCAGTAACTTCTGTTTCTCAAAGTGGAAATACTATTTCCATTGTCATGGGACTCTTGTTAGGCTGTTTGAAAAAGATTCAGTTTGGAGCTGCTTTTTGCTGTTGTTTGAAAGTACGTTGTCTTTATAGTGGTTTAGCCTGCTGACTTCCTACTAGATAAATTCAGTGTAAGAATTAAAGTAATTTACAATAAGGGTCTGTGGCTAAAAATATTCTTGTGTAAAGTCATCTGCATTTCTAATTATTGATCTTGAGAGGAAGACAATTTTAGGTTCTTATCAATAAAGTGACATTTAATTCCAAGATATATTTGTATTTTTCAGAGCGTGGTGTCGTATGGGAAGAAACTATTATTTTGCTTCCTGATAATGTTCACTATGTCTTTCTTTCGGCTACCATTCCAAATGCCCGACAGTTTGCTGAATGGATTTGCCATTTACATAAACAGGTATTTTCTTTCTCTTTTTTGATGTTTTCAATTTTTAAAATGTTGCAAGTTGGCCTTACTATGTCCTATACTTTGTTCCTAGTGCTGCCTAGAGTAAACAAGACATTTTAATGTGAAACTACTTTCCAAATCAGGCAAGCTTATTATAATCAACTGACTAGTTTTTTTTTAAGTGTGGATTTCTGGGTCCCATTTCAAACCCAATATATGAAAATCTCTGGGAGTAGGGGTCCTAGAAGTTCTAACTTTTAAAAGCTCCCAAGGTGATCCTGATGATCTGCCAGGTTTGGAAACTACTGCATTGTACAGTGAACCATGAGTACACAATAGAGAATTTCCTCTAAGACCTTGGTATAAGGAAAAAACTGGGCATCTCCTGAGCATGTGATTTGATTTTTCTCATGTAAATGCAGACTTTTCATTGACTTTGTTTCTCTTTTTACTTTTTTAGTCCAATATCAACAGCATTAAAGGATTTAAAACAAGCATTTGTTCATGTATACTAAACTTTTTCTTGGTTTTATTTTTCTGTCCTTATTTTCCCTTTACGCCAGAACCCTCACAAATTTATGTTTAACCATCTGTAAGCTCTCTAATGATGTTTTTGTAAAACATGTTGCTTCTGAAGAATAGAAACCCAGTGGATCTTCTGAAGAAATTAGATCAACCTGCTGCTTTAGTCAGGCTTTGAAAAGTTTCTGTGGGGTGGAAAAGTTCCATTTTACTTAAGGGAGCATTCTGTGTTACCTTATTACTGCTCCATAGAAACAGACATCTTTAATTATGGCATCATAGGTCTAGGGTATGGGTCTAAGATCATTATTGAAACTCAAATCATGTATTTGGCCCTGATTAGGGAATTAGTAAAACTGAATAGATGGTAGTATGATTTGATAGACCTAATTTTTCCAAATTTTTTCTTACCTGGTTTTTAAAGTTTTTTTAAAAAAGTATTTTCTTTTTGAAATATTGAATTCAAAGATTTATCTCCTCAGAATCCTTTAGGTAGGTCAAATACATGGTATTATTTTGAAGAAACAAAATATATGCTTAATTATTTTTTTGTTTGTCTTTACAGCCTTGCCATGTAATTTACACAGATTATCGGCCTACTCCATTGCAGCACTACATTTTTCCAGCAGGGGGAGATGGTCTGCACCTTGTGGTTGATGAAAATGTAAGGGAGTAATTGTCATTCTTACATCTATAATGTCATACCTTGCTGTTTATACCTGTTTTTCTTTAAACTAGGTAAGAATAACAGATCCATTTTTTTCTTAAATAGTTTTATGGTCCAAAGTTATTAGTTTTTTGTATTTTTGTTTCAAAAATTATATTTAGGACTCATTTTTTTAATTATTATTATATTTTATTTTTTAAACTTTTTTTTATTGAGTTATAGTCCTTTTACAATGTTATGTCAAATTCCAGTGTAGAGCACAGTTTTTCAGTTATACGTGAACATAACATACATTCATTGTCACATTCTCTTTTGCTGTGAGCCACCACAGGATGCTGTATATATTTCCCTGTACTATACAGTATAATCTTGTTTATCTATTCTACATTTTGAAATCCCAGGGACTCATGTTTTTTTTAAATGCATGAATTAGATTTCCCTCATTTTCCATTATTTTCAAATGCCTGGAGAATAAGGGGCTATGGACACATTTCAGATATATTCTGCTTTTCCCAGTTTTATTATTATATTAAGTTATTATTTGAAGAAGCTTTGTTTTGAGGTATGAAAAATGTTTGGATTATGATTAGGTATTCATTAAGTTACATAGAAAAATATCTGTAATTCCAGGGTGACTTCAGAGAAGATAATTTTAATACTGCGATGCAAGTACTTCGGGATGCTGGTGATTTGGCAAAAGGAGATCAAAAGGGGCGGAAAGGAGGAACAAAAGGTAATTTGGAACTTTGTTTTGAGACAATTTTACATATATTTTCAAGTTACATTTTATGTTTTTTAACTTTTTTTCCTCAGGAAGCTATGTTAAAGATCTAGATACAGAATGATAAAATTGGATGAATAAAGGTTGATCTCTTTTTCTGATACGAGTTTTATTGAGATATAATTCATATATTCTACAATTCACCCATTAAAGTATGTAACTCAGTAGTTATTAGTATATTCACAGAATTATGCAAACAATTTTTTTATTGAGATACAAGTCATACCATAGAATTCACCATTTTTAAGTGTATGATTAAATGGATTTTAATATATTTACACAGTTGTGCAACTACTATTTAATTTCAGAACATTTTCATTAACTCAAGAAGAAACCCCATACCCATTAGTGGTCATTCTTCATTTCCTTCCAACCTCTTCCCCACTACCCCTCAACCTTAGGCAATTACTAATCTATTTTGTTTCTATTTTTCTTTTCTGTATATTTCATATAAATAAAATCATTATATATATGGTCTTTTGCAACTGGCTTCTTTCACTTATCTTGTTTTCAAGATTCATTCAAGATTCATCCATGTTTGAAGCATGTATCAGCCCTTCATTCCTTCTTATGATCAAAAAATATTCCATTGTATGATATACCACATTTTATTTGTCCATTCTTCAGTTGATGGACATTTAGGTTGTCTTCCACTTTTTAGTTGTTGTGACTAATGCTGTTGTAAACAGTTGTGTGCTGCAAGTTTTTGTATGCACATGTTTTCTTTTCTCATAAGAATGTATCTGCGAGTGCATTTGCTGAGTCATACAGTAATTCTGTGTTTAACCTTTTGAAGTAATTGTCAAATTATTTTCCAAAGTGGCTGTACCATTATACATTCCCATCAGAAGGGTTATGAGGTTTCCATTTCCTCCACACCGTTGCCAGTACTTACTATAATCTGTGTAGTTGATTATGGGCATCCTAGTGAGTATGAAGTAGTATCTCAGTGTGGTTTTAATTTACATTTCTCTGGTGGCTAATGATATTGAGGATCTTTTACTGTGCTTATTGGCCATTTGTTTATCTTTGGAGAAATATCTATTCATATCCTTTGCCTATTCAAAAATTAGATCCTTTTTGTTGAATTATAAGAATTCTTTATATATTCTGGATCCTTGATCATTGTCAGATACGTGATTTCCAAATATTTTCCCCCATCTGTGAGTTAGAGTTGTCTTTTCATTTTATTGTTGGTTTCTGTTGAAGTACAAAAGTTTTGAATTTTGATGAAATCCAATTCATGTGGTTTTTTTTGTTGTTTATACTTTTGGTATCATATCTAAGAATGCTTTGCCTAACCCAAGATCATGAAGATATACTTCTGTATGCTTTTTAAGAGTTTTATAGTTCTAGATTTTACATTTGTCTGTGATCCATTTGAGTTAACGTTGGGGTATGGTTTATGTCCTCTTTGCAGGACCATCAAATGTATTCAAGATTGTGAAGATGATTATGGAAAGAAATTTTCAGCCTGTAATTATTTTCAGTTTCAGTAAGAAAGATTGTGAAGCCTATGCACTTCAAATGACCAAATTAGATTTCAACACAGGTACTATATAATTTCAGTATAACTTCAATGTTATGTGAAAATGAATGTAAATATATTTCTGATAAGGCATTATCTATTGTGTATTGTTAGGATATGCAGTTCATCTTACAGTTACAGGAGTAGGTACTCATCACATCTGTAAAAGCTTTAAGAGGCCCCTGATTTATCATTTCTTTCCCTTTCTTCTGTCTTTTATTGGAAGATATGTACATTGTTCTATATAAAATCCAGAGAGCCCCACTAAGAAATACCAGACTCATACATACCTTCTTATACTTCATTGCCATAGCTCCTTGGTTATTGTGGTTTTCTATCTGACTACTTAAGGTAAGTCTCTTAGTCAGACTACCTTCTGTTATGCTTTGTTCTTCTAGAAATTGAAACCAGGAAAACCTGCCCTTTACCTAACTAGGGTTTAATTTTTGTATAAAATACAATACCTTCTAGCAGATTAATAAATTATTCCCATATGGTAATGTAAATGTAAGTCACCTAAAGTCACACAGCTAGATAGTAGCATTGCCCGGGCAAAAGTTGCAGCCTGCTGAATAACCAGTGGAGTTGCACAGTCAGCCTTTTACGTATCTAATTCTGTACAGTGAGAAATAAATAATATCTTTAGTCATCCAAAATCAAATTTCAGTTGTCTTATTTTCTTTATCAAGGTGTACAGGTCTAATCTTGTGTATTTTAAAGCTAATTTTTACTTATCCATGGGTAAAAATAACAGATGACAGATAACGCATATAACCTTATAAAGACAATAGTATTTTAACTTTTTGACAGTGAATTGCTCTACTTAGAAATGTTTTCTTAAAATTACCAGTGATGGATATGCTTAATGTTTCATAGTTATATATTGGTGAAGTCAACAAGTAATTATTGACTATCTTTTAATTGACATTGTACAGGAGAGCAATGTAATTGTTGAGAGCATAGGCTTCAGGATTGTTGATCCGACAGTTAATACCAGTGCGCATCATTTGCTCTAAGCCTCACTTTCCTCAGTAGTGGATAATAATAATCCCTGTGTTCTATTATTGTTAGACTTCAGTATTGGATGTAGACACTTAATGTAGTTATTGTTTCTGTTTTAATAGTACTCTTATTCATGGATTAAGTCTGCTAGATATATTTTGAAAGGCGTAATTATTAAATAATTATGTAGTAAATTTTATCTCCTTGCCCTTCTGACTATATCTTAAATCCTGACTCTTTTACTCTTTATAGACTCTTATTCTTTGCAGTGTGTGAAATTTGGTATCACTGACTCACCACTGAGATATTTATATACCTTTGGCTTTTCTCTCTTAGATGAAGAGAAGAAGATGGTTGAAGAAGTATTCAGTAACGCAATTGATTGCTTATCTGATGAAGATAAAAAGCTCCCGCAGGTATATATTTAATGTCATTAAGTATGGGTAGTTAGTTAACAGGTAGCATAATTCACTTTGTATTTCTTGCTTTTGTTACTATTTTACTGCACTGTTTGCACACTGTAGTAAATATGTTGCATTGTGCACTGCAACCTTGATTTCTATTTTAAACTTCTAAAAAAGTGACAAAAGGAAAAATTTGCTACCTTGAAGGAACTTTTCTCTGAAAGCTAGCACAGTCTGGAAATTACTGCTTCTGTTCCTAATACTACAAAATTTTTAATGCTAGTTTTAAGTCACTCAGTTTCTTAATTCGTAAAGCTACCAAACAACAGTAGAGCACACCTAATGAAAATTGTATATTTAGAGAGGCATTTGATGTCTACTTTGCTTTAATACAGTGTTTTCCTTTGACTATTGGAATTGCCTGAGGAGTTCTAAAGTAAACTGATGCCTCACTGCCACTCCCAGAGATTCTGATTTAATTGGTCTGATGGGTGTCCTAATCATTAGAATCTTTCAGGAGCTCGCCAGGTTATTCTAATGTGCATCCAAACCTGAGAACTAATGCTTTAGTCTAAACTAGTACTATATGAATAAAGTTTTGTTTTGTGAAAAGAAAAATTAGAAGGTCATACTGCGCTTACAAGTGATTGCTTTGATTTATCTGGGATTTAAGATAAGACTGCAATATCATGTTTCTTGGCACTTAAAATAGTATTTAATTTACAAAATCTTACTGTCATTTTTCTTTCCAGCTGAATTATTAGTATCTAAGGGCTAAGCCATGTCTTTATACATCTTAGTTTTCCTACCACATTTCTAATAGTAGAATTAATGGCACTTAACAGTGTTAATGATGTTCAGTATCACTAATTATCAGAGAAATGCAAATGAAAACTACAATGAGGTATCACCTCATACCAGTCAGAATGACCATTATTAAAAAGCCTGCAAATGATAAATGCTGGAGAGGGTGTGCAAAAAAGGGAACCCTCATATACTGTAGGTTGGAATGTAATTTGGTGTAACCACTGTGGGAAATAGTATGGAGATTTCTTAAAAGACTAAAAACAGTTACCATATGATCGAGCAGTCCTACTCTTGGGCATGCATCTGGAGGAAACTCTAATTTGAAAAGATACATGCACTTCAGTGTTCTTAGCAGCACTATTTATAATAGCCAAGACATGGAAACAACCTAAATGTCCATCAGTAGATGAATGGATAAAGAAGTTGCGATACACACACACACACACACACACACACACACACACACACACTGGAATACTATTTAGCCATAAAAAGAATGAAATGCCATTTCCAGCAACATGGATGGACCTAGAGATTATCATACTAAGTGAAATAAGTCAGAGAAAGACAAGTATCATGATATCACTTATATGTGGAATCTAAAAAAAATGATACAAGTAAACTTGTTTACAAAACAGAAACAGTCTCGCAGACATAGAAAACAAACTTATGGTTCCCAGAGGGGAAGGAGGCTGATAAATTAGGAGTTTGGTACTTACAGATACAAACTACTATGTATAAAGTAGGTAAACAATAAGATCCTACTGTATAGCACAGAGAACTATGTTCAGTGTCTTGTAGTAACCTATAATGAAAAAGAATATGAAAAAGAACATATATATAAATGTATACCTGAATCACTATGCTGTACACCAGAACACAACATTGTAAACCAACTATACCTCAATTTAAAAAAATAGTGTTAATGAGAATGAATTCTTCAGTAATTGATTTGTTTTTAGATAAAGTGTATATTTATATTAAATGTTCTTTATAATTATTTATTTCCTTTTGGTTTTAGTTGGCCAGGATTTTTTAAGTTTATTTTGTGCAGATAGAAACTTTGCCCTCATAACCTTTAATTTTTTTGGAGGAGATGAAGTGATGCTGAAAAATTTGAATGAGGAAGCAAAGCATTTGTAAAGTTTACTTAAAATACGCCTTTCATATTAAAGAAAGCTGGGACAGAATTATATTGTGTTTTAATAATCTGTGAGAATACGAGTTTCAGTTTTGCTTTTTTCTGAAAAGTTTATATAACATTTCTTTAAACATCATTCTTTCTTGATTATCCATTTTTCTTTTTTATGTCTATATATTCTGGGTTGTTTTTAATTGAAGTATAGTCAGTTAACGTGTCAGTTTCTGATGTACAGCATAATGTCCCAATCGTGTATATATACATACATTCGTTTTCATATTCTTTTTCACTAAAGATTGTTATAAGATACTGAATTTTTTTTCTTGTGCTATTTTTCTTAATTTGTTAGTTTAACATTTTAAAAGTTCTTTTCTTCACATCATTGTAAAATAAATTTATTCCAATTGTAGGTTGAACATGTTCTTCCTCTCTTGAAGCGGGGCATTGGTATTCACCATGGTGGTTTACTTCCTATTTTGAAAGAAACTATAGAAATTCTCTTTTCTGAAGGATTGATAAAGGTATGATTTTATTTTTATTTATTATGCCCTAAAATTGTGTTGTGTGAATAGTTTTAAAATTATCAAGAACCCTGTTTATATGCAACTTTTTATTGTTATTGTTATTTTAGGTAGGTGATGTGGAATGACTTAGATAATGAACTTGATTTTTATATATAGTGTTATACTTCCCAAATTTTAGACTGTAGGCAAAATGTTTCTTTTCCTATTCTTAAAGTAAGAAATGGTAACATTACTGAATACAGGGTAGAATTTTCCAGAGTATTATCAGACCTAGAGTTGATCCTGTAAGTGGACTTCTTTCTGTACACAGATTAGAAGGAGTAGTTTAGAGAAGACAAGGAGAATTGGTGGTTAAAGTTATGAAAGTTATTTAGGATGTTCTCATTTACACCAAAGAGATTCTAATTTAATTTTTAAATTTATCAATGTCTGTACCCAGAATGGGATGTTAAAATGGGAAACAACTCCAAAATGTAGTCGTAAGCTTTTACATGACTCATAAATTATTTTATGTTTAAAAATCAGATTGGAATTTTAAACATCAGATTGGAGATTTGTCATGAGAACCTCATCACTAAGTAGGTTATTTAAAAGAAATTTGTTCACCCAAAATACCATACTTGAAATATTTCAGGTAGAGAATTGGTCACTATTTATACCTGTGTCTGAGTAGGCCCTGTTGATGTTCTCACATAGGCTGCATGTTTTGGTGAGGCCTGTTTTATTAAAGAATCTTGTAAGTAATATTTGTGGGTTGTAAAATTCACACAGAACTGTTGCACGTAAAGTAAAAAGTTAAAGACCACTGTTGCCCTTGACTTCCCCAAAATAGCCATTAGCATACATACAAATAATGTGTAATTTAATTTTTAAACAAAAAAAGTGATTATACTACCATGTTATTAACCAGTTTTGTGATATGGATACCAGTAGTCTACTCTAAGTTACTACCACTAAAATTTAAGAAAGACTATATCCCTGATTATAAATTTCTGAGATGCAAGGGACATTAAATATTATAATATAACTTCATTATAATAAATATAAATGAATTGCATGTAAATTGAAAAATTTTGTATATAAAATACTAAAATACATCTGGGGATAGCAGGCCTTATTTTTTATAGAGTTTCATTAACTAATTTTAAAATGATTTATTTATACTTGAATACTTTATTTATAAAAATAGTTTTTCTAGCTTAAAATAAATGTTTAATTGTATAATTATTCATTCATTTAGGCCTTATTTGCCACAGAGACTTTCGCTATGGGAATTAACATGCCAGCTAGAACTGTTTTATTCACGAATGCCCGAAAATTTGATGGAAAGGATTTTCGATGGGTAGGTAAAATAATTCATATATTAAAATAACTTTTAGCTTTAATTGTTTTACCTAAGTTGATTTTGGCTCATGTAGTGCTTGAGATTTTCAGTTCTAAATACGCAAGAACTTGTACCTGAGTAATAAAAGAAATTCATCAAGGTTAAATTTTAGGTGCTTTACATCTTCATCCTTTAGCTGGCAAGAGGACGTGGGGTAAACTAATTGAAAGAGTTTGGTGATGAGAAATAAGTGTGCAAATGAATAATGAATGTTTTAACACATTTGAAATATATCTAGAATTTTTATTTCTTTAAGTTATTTAAAGCTCCTCTACTATAGTGGCTACAGTTGTAGCTCACTGTTTAACTCTTCAGGTTTTAAATAAAGGTTTTAACAGGTTTGCACATGTCTTTTCTAAAGCAAAAGAGGAGAGGAAATTGGGATCATGGATGAAATTGTGAATTGGAGCAAAAGTAAATCCTTAATCCAGAGGCGAGTAACCCATTCAGCAAGACAGTTACCAAACTTAAACTACGGGCCTAGGACAACAGTAGGTACTGAGGATGCTAAATTGAAAACAAAACCAAACCAGTCCCTCCTGTGAAGAGACCTAGTAGCAGGTGAAAATTTATATTATATTTTCTGAGAAGTATATATAGGAAGGATAAAGCATAAGAAAAGAAGTCACTTATATGAGGGATCAGGGAAAGCTTCACATAGAAGGCAGTCCTTAAACTGAGCAACAAGAGCAGATGAATATTTACCAGCCAGGCAGTGGACCATAGCAGGGATGAAAAGCAGATGGAGGAAGAAAGATTCCAATTTGAGTACTTAGGGCAAACCAAAGAGTCACATAATATGGTGTTTGAGGAGAATTGTAAATAGTCAACTGTACCTTTTGTTCTTGAAAATGATGATTCTTTTCTGCTTAAACAAGTTTTTGGCAGCAGTTATTAATCATCAAACCCTGAAAACTCCCATTGTAGAATTTTAAAGGCAAAACATTTTTCTCGATTTGTTTTATTTTTAAATCTGTTGGATGCTAAACAAAACAGAAATGTAAGTATAGTGAGGCAGTGCCATTTCTCTTTAGAAATTTTTACATAGCCTTCAGAAATCTCTGTAACTTCTGACTTTTTTAAATCAAAAGAAGGCTAACTCATGTAGAATGTAATTTTTAATTGTAAAGCAGTTAAATGCCTTTCATATGTTTTGTTTTAAGTTCATGTAAATTTTAAAGTTCTTCATAGTCTGTTTGTTTGAAATTACTTAATTCTTTGAATAAAATTGGTGCCACAAGAAAATAAATGTCTTTCATGACTCTACATTCTCCTTGGCATCCCATGGACTCCAGGGTAATGAAAAGAAGTAAAGTGGATGATTGACTTTAAGAAAATGACCTTTTCTTGATTCAAGATCATAATTATGAAATCCAAAAATCATAGTGTGTCATAATGTAATGATACTCTTGAGCCTTGTTGAGATTTTATTGGGCTGCCTCTTTGAAATGTTCTTTTCTGATCTTTAGGGTTGGCTTTTTTTTTTTTTTTTTTTTTGGTTATCTTTTTCTGATGCCTTCCTTGCTCCCAGGTTGTTAGTCTGTTTTTTATGCTGTCAGTAATATGCCTTCTAGTTAGCATAGTGGTTTGTAACTCTTCTTGAGTCATGTTATTTTTTGAGAATCTGAAGACTGGACCCTTTCTAAAGGAAAAAAAGTATATATGCACTTACAAATAAAACTTTACCCAGTGTTCAGATGGTTCAGTGTCACCCTAAAAGATTATATATGGGATACTTACTAATCTTTCTCCCTGAGCTGGTTTTTACTGATGAATGAACTCTTCTGAATGCCACAGATATATACTGAGAAAGTAGAAAATTGGGCTTTTTTAGTGTGTGTTTATTTTTATATTAATCTCATTTGGAAGTTTAAAAAATGTGTTATGATCAAGTCAGAACTGGCATTTAGTAGAATTTGAATCGTTGTTTACTTTCTGGGGCTTCGCTGTTTTCCAGAATATGTAGCTCAAAGATGTTTCTATGTTGGTGAATTAACCAGTCTTTCCCTGTAGCTATTTGATAATTTTGGAGCTAAAATTTAGTTTTGCAACATTATTCTTAAGTGTTTTGCATTTTTGTGTTTTTACTTAAACTTTCCTAGAAGTTCATGTTTTGAATCATGTTTCCTTTTTTGGAATGTATAGCTTGTGCTTGTGTATTTTATGATAAAAATTTGAAGAATTTTTTTTTTACCAGATTTTCTCCTAAACTTTGCATTTTTTAATATGTTCATTCAGATTTCCTCTGGTGAATACATTCAGATGTCTGGTCGTGCTGGAAGGAGGGGAATGGATGATAGAGGAATTGTAATTCTCATGGTAGATGAAAAGATGAGCCCAACAATTGGGAAACAACTGCTTAAGGTAACCGAGTTCAGTTTCTGTGCCTTCACTAGAAATTAAATAAACATACTTTAGGACTACATCGAAGTTAGTTGTGTCTGTTCAAATACTTTCTGAGTGGATGAGTTAATTTACTAAACTGTCTGGGCATAGGAAGGAGGAAGAAGGTGACTGCTCAAAGTACTGGTATTTTGTTACCCTACATTCTAATAGCAAAAGAGCAAGTCATGCAATGGAGGGACATGAATTCTTAGAGAGGGCAGAAATGTTTACTTTGCCCTCCAAATTTAAGATACCTCTGCATCTGTCCTCTCCACTGCACGAATTGCTCTTTACCTATCAGAACAGGAAGTAGGGCAGATGATAATCAGTATTTTGGGCAGTTACCTTCCTCTGCCTTTATAAGCCCAGGTAGCTTAATAAAGTAATTCTACAATCTACCATTCTAATTTAGCTTATTGAAAGATTATAAATATCCCAATAATAAGTTAAAATTTATAAGCTTTATATTGAATTAACCTGTTCATTTTGCTTGCTAGTATTTGTGTTTTGGATTGTCTAAGATTTTTATTTTCAGTTTGTTTTGAAGATCTTCTCAAGGAAGTTTGATCTGGTTACTTTCCTCCTCCTCAATGTTTTAAGGAATTATTAAGTTGATCCCTAGAGAACACTATGAATAAGATAGGAAACTTAAACATTAGTTAAAAATATAAAATTAACTTCCGGCTGATTATCTACTTGAAATAAAGCTTCAAAACACATTAAGAGATACAAAGGTCAGTGTCTCTGAAATACACTGTGTTCAAGTTCTAAGACTTAGGAATTGTGTGCAGAATTTGAGATATGATTGTAGGTATGCTAAAGCAAAAATAGGTAAAGATCTAGTTTTTTAATATGTTTTTATATGCATGAACATGAAACTTATCTGTATATATTCATGGTGATTGTATGGTTTCTTATTTTCAGTTTCAAAAAACACTTGGAAATCCATTTTTAAGCATTGCTTATGTAAAGAAGATGACTCAAGGTTAAAAATTAGTATTTTTATTATTTTGTTTAAATTTTGTCAGATATAATAAACTATTTTTTCCTTCCTCATACTCTGTGTGGAAAGAATTGAATGAGGACGTAATATTTTAATAATAACATCTGGTTCCTTTAGTACAGATTTCTTTCATTTCATTTACTTGACATCTCTAGATTTGTTACCTTAAAAGTGTAAAGTTCTATCATCTTTCATTTCATTAAAATTTTTTTAAAATTTTATTGTGGAACACCTAACATGAGATCTGCTCTCTTAATAAATTATTAAGTTGTAAAATATGTTGTTGACTGTAGGTACAGTGTTGTATAGCAGATCTCTGGAGCTTAGTTATCTCTTGCTTGAAACTTGATGCCCTTTAATTAATGACTACCCATTTACTCCTCCCTTCAGTCTCTGACAACCACCATTCTACTCTTTGATTCCATGAATTTGAGTATTTTAGATACCTCACATCAGTGGAATCATGCAGTGTTTTTCTTTCTGTGACTGGCTAATTTCACTTAGCATAATGTCCTCAAAGTTCATTCATGTTGCTGCATATTGCAGAATTTTCTTCTTTAAGATTGAATGGTAATTGTATAATAATATACTTCTCCACTGGTATTTTCAAGGGATTGGTTCCAGGACCCAGCATCCCTACATATACCAAAATCTGAAGATGCTCAACTCTCTTATGTAAATGTCATAGTATTTGCATATAACCTATGCACATTCTCTCATATACTTTAAATCATCTCTGGATTACTTATAATACCTAATATAATATAAATACTATGTAAATAGTAATAAATACAATGTAAATGTTAGTAGTTGCCTATGCTGCATGGCACATTCAAGTTTAGCTTTTAGGAATTTTTCTGCAGTTTTTTTCCCTTCGAGTATTTTTGATCCATGGTTCATTGAATCCTCAGATGTGGAACACGAGGATACTGAAGGCTGGCTGTATAGCCATATTATTTAGCATCCAAATTAGGATACTGTAATAGTGAAAGAAAGGGCTATTAGTAATTATATCAATGTAACAGGTGTAAGTTGTGGTTACCCTAGGCTCACTTGGATACAGTGTTAAAATGCTATGTTGAAATTCTGGTGACTGAATTTAGAATAGGTATATTCTACAGCAGTTAAGAATAAAAAAGCAGAGTTTGAGGTTGAAAATAAACATTTGTATTTTTGAAGCCCCAGATTTCTTAAAGGAGGTAAATAGTAGAAAAGAAAAAGAATAGTAGAGGCTTGGTCTTTTGCAAAATTGTGAAGTAGCTGAAGTTGTCTTTAATTCCTCTCTTCCCCAAGAATGTGGTTTTCATACTAATTCCCCATCTCCCGTTGGCCCTGTTTTCAAGGAAAGTAGATAAAAATTAAGGTTTTTAAGGACTTACTATCCCACTTGAGTGAGTGGCTCTTGATTTTTTAGAAGTTAAAGAATACTACCATTTGAGACTGTTGAAAGTTCTGCTCCTTCTCCTCATAAAATCCTATGTGGATACATTTATATTTCTAAGTGTAATAAGACTGGCTTATAGACCTCAACTTAAAAGCCCCTAACTACCCTAAGAGTAGTTGTGTATTTTGCTCTGCCATTTAGAAATTTGCATGTTTTGTGACACTTCATTTCTAAATATTTCAGCATGTGTCTCCCTATAATTTGGTCATTCTTCTATAATCATTTTTATTCTTAGGAAGTATTTGCATTTTTAAAAAAATATTCCTGAAGAAACATTGTAAGAAAAATTTAGATCTCAAGGAAGTAGTTTGGATATCAGCCTTGTTTCAAGCTAGTCACACTATTGTAGATAAATGTTTTATTCTCTCTAGCCATTAGCTAGCCCTTCTTAGGAGGAGAAAGAGGAATTATTGAAGTGAGGATAAGAATGGCCTGTAAATTTGGGGAAAACATATCAGCAGTTTTATGTTACTCTAGGAAGCTGAGAGTTTCAAGATAACTAATTTTAATCTGCATATCATTCTGAAATAAATTTAGTGTGCTCTGTCAGCACAGGCTAGGTTCTGCTGCAGTAACAAACCTAAATCTCAGTAACTTAATGGTTTCTCTTATGTGTTTTTTGGAGATTTACAGAGGAGGTTTTGCTTATCATTATTGTTTAGGAATTCGGGCTGGTGGAGAGACCACCATCTTGAACGTTATCAGTCACTGCCAGAAGGAAGAAGATAGCTTTTCACACCAGCAGTTAAATACTTGGCCAGGAAGTGATACACCACTACAACTTATTTGCCCTATCCCCTGGGGACAAAATGTGTAATCCTGTCAGGTACCTAGAAGGCAGAGAGCTAAACATACTTGGCAAACAGTATTTTAACTGCAACTGTCCTATTTAGTGATTTTTTTCCCCCTTCATTTTCCCAAAGATCAACTGTTTTGTCACTTTATATTGGTCGTTTAAAGGAAAGAACTTAATATATGTCTGTAGTATTCCCTAATGCAGACTAAATTATTAATCAGTTTAACAGTTTATGAATATTTGTGTGAATTTATTTGAAAAACCTCCAACATTGGCATGTTTTTTTCTTTCTTAGGGCTCAGCTGATCCTCTAAATAGTGCTTTCCATTTGACCTACAACATGGTTTTGAACTTACTACGAGTAGAAGAAATTAATCCTGAATACATGTTGGAAAAATCCTTCTATCAGTTTCAGCATTATAGAGCAATTCCAGGAGTAGTAGAGAGTAAGTATAAAATTACCATAACAGCCTCATTTAGATAGGAGACTAAGTAGCAAAATTACTGCAACATTGGCTGTTTTGGCCAATTTTTTTTTTTTTTTCTGGTAAGCCACATCTTTGTCCTTACATAAAGTAAAGTAAAGTAAGAACTACAGTCTGGTCATTGTAACGAACTAGAATGCTTTAAGTGAAAGTAAGGAAACTGTCAGGATGAGTTTCTGTAGTTATTTCAAACTTAGTATGGTTTATTGCTAGAGACATATCACATAATAACTCATGTTTATGAATAGTAATGTAACAAACAGCCTGGTGTATTAAAATTTTACCTGCAAGAAGCGTGTATATTAGTCTTATCCTTTCACCATTTTCTCATTATATAACATTGCCATATCATATGTTTATGAATGATTAAGGAAACATAATATTTTAACATGGATTTTAGAATTTTTAGCTCTCAATAGTAAGATAATGTTTTCTAAAGTCCAGAAAGTAATTGTTCCCTGGTAAGTACATTCAAGTAGAATTGTGTATTGTGTGTTAGTCCCTAATTTTAGAAGATACTATGGCTGATCATCATATAGAGCTGATTAAAATCTAAAATTGAGGCAAAGATTTAAAGTACTGGTTTGGGTAAGTCTTATAAAAATAATGTATAGGGAAATAAAACCCCCAAATTTAGCAAAAGATGCAAAGGAAATTTAAGATCATTTGCAGTCTCACACAGAGACAGCCACTGTTAACTATGTGTGGTTCTTCCACCTTTTTCATGCATATTTTTATATAGATTTTTAAAAATCGTGATCAGATACACAGTTTGGTGATAATAATGATGGTACTTACAACTGATATCATTTGTTAAACATTAATCATATGCCTAGCCTTGTGTTAAATGCTTTACATTCACTAGCTCACTGATTCTGGCTTTTTAAAATTTAATTTCAAGTATCCTTTGAATGATTACATAATAATTTGTATTTTATAAATGTACTATGATTTATTTAACAGTACACGCAAATTTGAGATATCTTTCTATCACAAGTGGATAGCACTTTCACTCAAGTTATATGTAGCTGCAAGTAAAAGAAGTGTAATAATGTGCCCTTAAAAAAAATAAAAAGGTGGGGAGGTGCAGTGGCAGAGTGCTTGCCTGGCATGCACGAGGTCCTGGGTTCAATCCCCAGTACCTCCATTAAAACAAACAAACAAACAAACAAACAAACAAACAAACAAATAAAAAACAACCAACCAACCAACCAAATTACCTTCCCCTCAAAAAAGAAAAGAAAAGAAAAGAAAAGAAAAGAAGAAAAGGCTTAGACCATCCAAGTGAATTAAATTCTCTCTTTTTTTTTTTACCTTTACCTGGACAATAGATCATAATTATTTCCTCTTTCCTTAATTTCTTAGATCTTAATTGTGAGTGGCTGCTTCATTACAAACTATGGAGCTAAAAAGAGCTTTGGCATCATTTTACAGATTTTTTTTAAGGCCTAGAGAAGTTAAGCCAGTATGTAAAGTTACACATTTGGTTGGTAACCATTTGAAATTAGAAATCTTGGACTCCTGCTTCTAGCCATGCTGCTTTTATTAAAGCATGGGTCATCCCTTTTTAATATGATGAGAATAGATGCAATAACTTCTCTGGCTGAAAAAAAAAGGGATGAAAAAAATAATTTCAGAAACTTGAGCTGGCTGATTTTAAGACTTACCTTTACTTAAATTTCCACAAGCAAAGCTATTGAATCTTAAAAAAGAAAAAACTCAAAATTAATCACAAATGTATAATTTTGGATCATAATACATTTTATTATTTTCTTGTATTTAATGCCATTTATCTTGATAATAAACTGCAGCCTTAGCAAAGAGAAAGTATGATTCTACTCTCAAAGAATTGTGTTTTTAAAGGAGCTATAAATCTCCCCACCTCTCACAAAAATAATATATAATAATAGAATGAAAATATCACAGGATTTCAGTACAGTGTGCATCTGAGTTTGAATTAAGTAGGTATTAAAATCAAATTAGTTCTGAAGAAGGAAATAAAGTGCACATTGGAGCACTTACTTTTGTTTTTTTCCGCCCATTTTTTACAAAAATAATGTATTCGAACAATTAGTAAACCGCTTTTTAAACTTCACATTGTATTTTTTTTTGTAATTCCATAGAAAATATCCCAGATAATAGCAGATGGTAGAGGGAGAACTCTCCATGTATTTTCCCATTTATTTAAAGCCCTTCTTAGGACTTGTGGCTGGGCTCAGATTGCTCAATAGGACTTTAACCAAGGCTAGCTACCCACTCTAAGAACTTAAATATTGCCACCGTTTCTCTATCCCCTGTCCTTTGTCTCCCAAAGCCCCAGCTGTTGTCACTGTTGTTTTCAGTGTGATTATAACTGACTTACCTTTTAAGAGGATCATAACATAATCTCTGACCCCTGGCGTTGCCACTATGCACTCGTATCATTATGGAAGCAGCAAATAGAAAGACTAAATAGCAAAAGCATAACACTTAATGGAAGAGGTAAGAATTTAAGTGATGAAAGTGATAATCGATGAGGGAATTGCAACACCTTTAAGTAGTTTGCAGGGCTGAGTAGTGTGACCAAAAAAGAGTATATAGTGTAAGAGGAGATGGTTAGAGGTGATAGGGGCTATCCTTTGTGCTTTTGATGTGCAGAATATGTCTTGAATGAGATTTATTCCTGTTTCACTTATTACCTGTGAGAGTATAATTCCTTTTTCTATTGATATATAGAATTTTTTCAAGAGACCTGCTATTATTTTCATCACCTTAAGTGAACCAGCATTAAAATGTAGACTGTTACCTTTGGAAGTATAGATTTAAAGTTTGTTTTACAAATACCATGCTTTAATTTTTATAATAAATTTAGATGGCTGACATACATGAGGTGTTTTTCATTTTGATGTTCTGAATCTACAATAGATTTTCCAAGAAGCCATAAAACTTATAGGATTTCACTGTTCCTTTACTGAAAAGAAAAATGCAGGTCTAATTTTAATCTTTTCGTTTAGTATCTTTAGTAGATGATGCCATGATTATCAATAATTATTATTAATAATTACCATTAATAATTAAAATAGAGAATGCCATGGTTATTGGTAATAATCGAGTGCCTAAAAAATTATGAGGATCAGATTAAATAATTTTAAAAACTGCTTTTTCAGCTATAAAGTCCTTATCACATGTTAGCTGCCCTTGCCATCATGCACCCTTTGTTGATTGTCTCTTCGGGTTTCGGCTGGAGTCAAGACATTCTGTAGAGCTAATCTGTGCTCCTCATTCTGCCCTGCAACCCTCCTATGCCTGTTTTTAATGAAAACCAAAAAGCTACCAGCCACCAGGTGGTGGTTCTCTATCTCTTTATAAATGGGAAATGCTGTAAGTTGCCCTTTTTTTCCTTCTTGAGGTGCTTTCTGAATGCATATAGTTTGTTCTATTCTGAACCACCTCTCATACCCCAAGATTATACTTTGATGCCTCAGTTCTATAGACTAAATTGAACACAGGGATGAGAAATCCTCACTGGTAGGAAGAATAGTGAAGAGTTGTTTGGTAGGCATATTCTTTTCCAAAAATAAATCATTGTCCAGGGGTAAGAGTGAAATGAGGCAAGATAAAGTCCTCCTGCCATTCAAAGTGGCTATACCTTCTGTAGGAGAGGACTCATGAATGAACTCTGTTGACAACACCCTGAGAGTTCTAAAAGTAAGTGTTTGTTCACAGTGGGAAGGAGGCATAATGGAATGAGTGAGGAAGGGAGGTCAGCACTAGATGCAAGAATTAGAGCAGGGAATGCCGTCATAGATGGTTAGATTAACTGAAAGGACAGTTGCTGAAAGGGGCTAGTATTTTGCCCACTGACTGAGTAGAGGGATTACTGTGGTTGAATTGCCTGTCTTCAGTTTTAGAGACCTAGTCCTAGGAGGTGGTGAAGGCCTGGTGACATTAGCAAACTGGATTCTTTGCAGAGAGTTAAAGCGGCATATTATTTAGAAGATCCAAAATAGTGCTGTCCAATAGAACTTTCTAAGGAAGGTTAGGATTAAGATATTCTATGTCTGTGCTATTTAAGTACAGAAGTCAATAGCCACTTAATTGGCTATTGAGCATTTGAAATGGTGCAATTGAGGAGCTAAATGTTTAATTTTATTTAATTTTAATTAATTTAAATTTAAATAGTCACACAGTGTCTTCTGGCTATTATATCAGAAAGTGCTGACATAGAACATTTCTACCATCATATAAAGTTTTAAGGGTAGTGCTGTGTTCAACAGTGTAGGTTCAGAATTCTCAGAAATAGTCTCCTCTCCCCAATCCACAGGAGAGAATTAGCTCACCAGATAAAATCACTGTCAATTCAGGCTCACTTTGAGGATTCAGTTGGTGAGTTGGGAAACTGTGGAAAGAGAGAAGGTGAACCATTATGGCAAAGGGAGAAATTAGACAGTATGCCTTACGGTTGTCTCTGAAGCTTTTCCTCAAAATTTCTAATTTATGCAATCTGAATTTGTTTCCTACTGTGGTAGTAGGGAAAAAAGATATATCTTTGGTATAATTTACATAAGATGTATAATTTTTGGATGTTGTATATGTGTTTTTATTTACAGAGGTAAAGAACTCGGAAGAACAGTATAATAAAATAGTAATACCAAATGAAGAAAGTGTAGTCATCTATTATAAGATTAGACAACAGCTTGCTAAATTGGGTAAAGAAATTGAAGAATATATTCACAAACCAAAATACTGCTTACCATTTCTACAACCAGGTCGTTTGGTAAAGGTATGTCATTTTTTTTTCCATAAAATTTTTGGATATTTTAGATATTTCAATATTTAATATTTTTTGGATGAAGATTTCAATTTTTTTTTCTTATCTTGGTAAAATAATTCCTGCTAGAATAGTTGATCTATATTATATTGTTTTACCAGTTTCACGTCACACTGATTAAGAAAGGGGGGTTATGTGATTGCCTTTTAATCTCTAATGATTTTCATTTTGGGGGGTAAAAATTGAAGTAGACAGTTTTGGAATTAGCATGACATATTTCCAGTTATGAAATACTGTCTGAGAATCAGACAGTTTTAAGACCTGGGTAAATTCATTAGCTATAAAAGATATTCTCAGAACAAATACACCGTATCATTTTTAACATTTGTTTGCCAACCGAGAGATTCCTGTTATTGCTGTTCTAGAAGCCTGTGATATTTGGCAGTGATTTCTTTCTGTAGGATTAACATCTTTTTCCTTAAGTTTAACAATGATCTTTCAAAAAATATTTTATCAGGAAAACTCACAAAGTTTTACTAGCCTATAATGTGGATATGGCATCTAAATTGCCTTTTTGAACATAAACATTCTTATTTTCTTGCTTTACTTTCTTTTCAGGTAAAGAATGAAGGAGATGATTTTGGCTGGGGTGTAGTGGTGAATTTCTCAAAAAAATCAAATGTTAAGGTAAACTGTTGTCCTTAAAATAGAATTGTGTATAAATTTTTAGTGAAATATTTTTTCAGACTCAGGAAATTGGTTGGATTAGTAATAGCGTTACCTTAAGAGAAGCTGTAGTAAGTTCTATCATAAGGAATTAACGTTTTGAACAACCTAAATTTTATCCTAAAGTGGTATGGTTATTTTCCTGACACTATCACAAATTTTAATTTCATGACAATTTATATTTCTCCTCTGAATTCATCAGTCCTTTTTATAATTTTATTCTTTAAGTCACATATTTTAAAAAATTAGCATCTGATACTGAAAATTAGAATTTTGATTTAGGTATATGTTATAGACTTAGAGAAAATAACTTAGGAAAGTTGGTCAGTTTTACTTATTCTCTCTAAATGAAAGCAATAATAAAGTTGATTTTGGTTGTTATTAGTATAATTATTTCAGAAAGATTATTTATATAAAATCAAGGATGATTTGTTAATTTATTAGAGAAATGATTACCTTGAAATTAAATGAGCCTTCCTGTCTATTATATTTTCTTTACCTGAGGTAGGCACAAACCTGTTATCTGCCAGTATGTGACTTCTGGCAAGACATTTTGTATCTCCAGGCCAATTTTTCTTTATCTTTAAAATGAAGGGTTTGCATAAGATGATAATCTACTCTGTTTTAAAGTTGACAGTTTCGTGATTTTATTGTGATTAACTTCTTTGTACCACCTATGTGTAAAGGCAATTAGGAATTAAGCCTTGGGATTGAAAGTTAGTTCTAAAATAGGTAAATGAACTTTTGAGATACTGAAGTGATTTGTTGTGGCGAAATAATTAAGTTCATAGGTTTGTGATAGGTGTTTTGATTGATGATCTATGATTAATCCCACTGAATAACTTCTTAAGGATATTTATCATTAAAATTTTGATAAATTATCTTGAGTAATTATTAACTTACAGGAATCTTTTCACCCTGTCTCATTTGAGTCTAATTTAACAACCATTCATTGACCATAGACACAAAATTTCTGTACTCATTTGATGAACAGTGGCAAGCAGATAATGAAAATATAAGGCAGAATATGAAATACTTCAGTAAAGGTATAAGCAAAGAGCAGTTGGAGCAAGAGGAGGAAGAAATTTTGAGCTATTAGAGATGGCACCTGAGAAGGAAGAAATTTTAAAATTTTAAACAGATCCTTGAAGACTGAGTAGAATTTCATTTGATAAATATTCACTGGTGGAGGATCAGTGGTATGCAACAGGCACAGAACATTTCAGGTGAAGGGAAGGAATAAAATTTTTTTTTTAAAGTATGAAGTTAATCATAGATTATGAGTATATTGGGTCCAGATTTAAACACTTGAAAGCAGTGGCAGGCCATTGAAGGTTAATTGGTTTGCTTGTTTTTGTTTTTTTCTTCTAGTTTTATTGAGCTTTAAATGACATACAGCACTATATAACCTTAAGGTGTATAGCATTAATGATTTGACTTACATACATCATGAAATGATTACCACAATATGTTGAGTGAGCATCCATCATCACATAAAGATACATTAAAGAAATTTAAGAAAAATTTTCTTCCATATGATGAGAACTCTTAGGATTTACTCACTTAACAGCTTTCATATGTAATGTACAGCACTGTTAATTATATTTATCACCTTGTACATTACATCCCTAGTATTATTATCTTATAACTGGGAGTTTGTATCTTTTTACTGCCTTTATCTAATTCTCCCTTCCCTCCCCAGGCCTCCCCACCCCAACTCTGGTAACCACAAATCTGATTTCTTTCTCTGTGAGGTTATTTTTGGAAGCATAGTTGACCTACAACACTGTGGTAGTTCCTATTACACAACATAGTGATACAGTATTTCTGTACATTTCAAAATGTTCACTGTGATAATTCTAGTTGTCACCTGTCACCATGAAAAGATGTTATAGTTATTGATTATTCCCCACACTGTACATTTCATGCCTGTGACTCATTTATTTACTGAAAGTTTGTACCTTTTAAACTCCCTCACCTATTTCTCTCCTCCCCCAACCACCCTCTCCTCTGGCAACCACCTGTTCTCTGTATTTGTGACTGTTTTGTAAATAGATTCATTTGTATTATTTTTTTAGATGCCACATATAAGTGAAATCATACAGTATTTGTCTTTCTCTGGCTGGCCTATTTCATTTAGCATAATACCCTCCAGGTCCATTCATGTTGTCGTAAGTGACAATATTTCATTCTTTTTTATGGCTTAGTAATATTTCTCTCACTGTGTGTGTGTGTGTGTGTGTGTGTGTGTGTGTGTGTGTGTGTGTGTACACCACATCTTTATCCATTCATCTACTGATGAGCACTTGGGTTGCTTCCATATCTTGGCTATTGTAAATAATGCTGCAGTGAACATAGGGGTGCACATATCTTTTTGAATAATGATGTTTTCATTTTCTTCAGATAAATACCTAGGAGTGGAATTGCTGGACCATATGGTAGTTATATTTTTAACTTTCTGAAGAACCGCCATACTATTTTCCATAGCAGATGCACCAGTTTACATTCTAACCAGCATTGCAGCAGGATTCCCTTTTTTCTACATCCTACCAACACTTGTTATTTCTTGCCTTTTTAGTAATAACCATTTTGTCAGATGTGAGGTTATTCTTATTATGGTTTTGATTTGCATTACCCTGATGTTTATTGATGTTGAGCATCTTTCCATGTACCTGTTAGCCATCTATATGATTTCTTTGGAAAACATCTCTTGAGGTCCTCTGCCATTTTTTAATCAAGTTGCTTGGGGTTTTTTTTAGGTATCAAGTTGTATGACTTCTTTATATACTTTGAATGTTATCTATCAGATATAGTATTTGCAAGTATCTTCTCCCATTCAGTAGGTAATCTTTCATTTTGTTGATAGTTTTCTTTGCTGAAGAAAACTTTTTTACTTTGATGTATACCCATTTGTTTGTTTTTGCTTTTGTTTTCCTTGCCTGAGGAGATATATCCAAAAATATATTACTAAGACCAGTGTCAAAGAGCTTACTGCCTGTGTTTGCTTCTGGAAATTTTATGGTTTTACGCCTTACATTTAAGTCTTCAATCTATTTTTAATTGATTTTTGTGCATGATATGAGAGATTAGCCCAGTTTGATTCTTCCATGTGTGTCTGTCCAGTTTTCCCAACATCATTTGTTGAAGAGGCTGTCTTTTCCCAATTGTGTATTCTTGCCTCCTTTGTTGTAGATTAATTGCCATGTAAGTGTGAGTTGATTTCTGGGCTTTCTATTCTGCTCTGTTGACTAATGTGTCTTTTGTGGGTACCAGTACCAGGCTGTTTTGATGACTGTAGCTTTGTAGTATAGTTTTGAATCAGGGAGTGTAACATCTCCAGTTTCGTTTTTCTTTCTTCAGATTGTTTTGGCTATTCAGGGTCTTTTATGTTTCCATACATATTTTAGACTTACATGTTCTAATTTTATGAAAAATGCTGTTGGGTATTTTGTTAGGAGCTGTATTGAGTCTATAGTTTGCCTTGGGAAGTACGATCATCTTAACAGTAATAATTCTTCCAGTCCATGAGCATGGTATTTTTTTCCATCTGTTTGTAAAGTCTTCAATTTCTTTCATTAGTGGCTTACAGTTTTACTATAGTGTAGTATAGTTTTCTTTTAGTACAGGTCTTTTACCTCTTTAGATTTAGTCCTGGTTTTTGTTTGTTTGTTTATTTGTCTTTGATGCATTTGTGAATGGAATTGTTTTCTTAATTTCTCTTTCTGATAGTTCAGAAGTTTCTTTCTCTGTTTTTTGGACTAGTGTGAGAAGGATAGCTGTTAAGTCTTCTCTAAATGTTTGGTAGAATACACTTGGTAGAATACACTTGTGAAGCCATCTGGTCCACCTTTGCTTTTTTTGATAATGTCCTTTGAAGCATGAAAGTGTTAAATTTTAATGTAATCCAGTTTTTCTATTTTTTTCTTTCGTTACTCAGGCTTTTGATGTCATATGAAAAAAACCACAGCCAATATCAAGGTCATGAAGATTTACCCCTATGTTTTCTTCTAAGAGTTTTATGGTTTTAGCTCTTACATTTAGGTCTTTGATCCATTTTGAGTTAATTTTTTTTTATGTGACTTAAGGTAAGGATGCAGCTTTTTTCTTGTCCTAGCACCATTTGTTGGAAAATTCTTTCCTCACTTAAATGATGTCGGCATCCTTGTCAAAACTTAGATGATCATAGATACATGGATTTATTTTTGAACTCAGTTCTGTTCAGTTGATCTGTATGTCTATCCTTATGCCAGCACCATACTGTCTGGATCACTGTATCTTTGTAGTTAAGGTTCGAAATAATGGGCTGGTGAGTCCTCCAACTTTGTTCTTTTTCAAGATTGTGTTGGCTATTCTGCCACTCTTATAATTCCATATAAATTTTATTGTCTGTCAGTTTCTACAAAGAAGTCAGCTCGGATCTGATAGGGTTTACATTGAATCTGTAGACCATTTTGGAGAGAGTATTGTCATCATAACTAAGTCTTTTAATCATGAACATTGGATGTTTTCCCATTTATTAGATCTTTTAAAATTGATTGCAACAGTAATTTGTTTTCCAGGTATAAATTTTGAACTTCTTTTGTTAAATTTATTCCCAGGTATTTTAATCTTTTGATGCTATTGTGAATGGTTCTTTCAATTTCACTGTTTTCATGGCAAGCATATATTAATACAGTTGAATTTATATATCGATCTTGCATTATTCAACTTCGCTAGTAACTTTATTAGTTCTGATAGCTTTTTAGTGGATGCTGTAGGATTTTCTTGTCTGCAAATGGAGACAGTTTTACTTTCCCCTTTTCAATCTGGATGCATTTTATTTCCAATTTTTACCTAATTGCCCAGGCTAGAAGCTCCGGTACAATACTGATGAAGGACATATCCTTGTCTTTTTCCTAATCTTCAGGAGAACACATTCATTCTTTTACCATTAAGTGTGATGTTTTCATAGGTGTTCTTCA